TACCTTTGTTTTACTTCCATTATAACACTACGTATTTCATCAATTGCATAATCATTTTTTGTTTGAATACGGAAAACTACAAAAACGCGCACTTGTACAATTTCTCATAATACAAGTGTGGTCGCGTGCTTCGACTCTCTCTTCTGATTTCGCTCGCGCTTGCAGCGGTCATTCGCGAGTCTCATGTACTAACTCTGGTACCAAAACATTTCAGACATCTTTCTATTCTATTATGTGTGGGAACTGTTCAGAAGAAGACCTCTGGACCAACATAATTGGATTATTGCTTATTCGCTGACCTGGGCCAGAACTATTTTAGTCTGTTCCATCTGATCTCTTTAGTTTTGTATACCCAACCTAGCGTAATCATTTTTATTTCTTTGCCACACACTCCTGGTAAACTAACTTATTGGGTAGCCAGACCACTACGCTATCATGAATGTAGTCCAAACGCTCAGGGGTAGCTCCATAAAGTCGCACAATTAAAATCTGTGTGCAAAACTATTCCTACAAACTCTAGGAGCCCCACTGATTAGGAAAAATTCAATGACACTCTTCTGTAGCCATACTTCAGGGGCATTTGTATTACATGGCGTTTTTTGGTAAAAATAACATTTTTGTTAAATAAGTTGCGGAAGGCTGTGTATTGGGCGCTACTTGCATTCACGTATTCACGGATTGATACACAGGATCGGGGCTTNTTTCTTCTGTCTGGGTGCGCCCTGACATTAACGCTCTTCACTTGGCACCGTCGAGATCTTGATTCATTTTGAATGAATTCGGGCCTATCTGATTTAGTTGTGTCAAACATTTGGAGGAATGGTATGCACAACTCTCCTCCTTTAATTAATTTCTCGAGCATATTTTTGGCTAGTTGAGGATGATCTGCAGAAGGTACAATATTACAAAGGACAAAGGAGTCGGGCCACTACTGTTTGTGAGAGGGCTTTACTGTATTCCAAAATTTAATGCACTTGTCCTGAGGATAGTGCTGTAGCACGTTGATCGCCTTCCTGGACTATTCAAATGTCCTGTTGTCAGACACTTTTTCCGGAGTCTAGTGACATTGTCGACAATCATTCCAGCTCTATGAAAGTTTTATGGGTAGTGATTAAACTGAACTTTGGTTTTGAATCTCCAGTTTATATATCGTATTTATGCTCTACGATGACGTAAACTCCCATCATTGTCGGTTCCCTCAAAAAAACTTCAGATTGCGGTGCATCTTCAGATCGGTTTATCCTTTCGGATGGGCCATAGTGCATGTGTAGTGAGACGTCTCAGAACATTCAGGAATGCTGGTGCAAGAATTTTGATATTTCACTGATTCGCCAATCTGTTTTGCCTGACTGCTGACCCCGCTCCAATGCCTGGGGCTGGAAAAAAGACACAGAAGGGAACATAACAGCTATATTCCGAACAAGTGAGTGCGAGAGTATGAGTGCGTGCGACTGCGAAAGTACAACTGCCTGAAGTCATTTGTTGGAGGGACACTGTCTGAACTTGGTCTAATGCTGACGCCCGCGGTTTAGCTTTGGTACGAGGATGTGACGTGCTGCATATTGCGGGGGCGTTGTCTGACCTTGATCAGCACTGACTCACGCTGTCAGCGTTTGATACAAGCCTGTGACGCGCTGCATACTGAGGGGGCGTTGCCTGTCTGGTCAGCATCTAGCGGAGCTGAGGGTCTGAACATTCTGGCGTTGCAGAGCAGCACCACTTCTGAGATATTATTTTAACTCTGTCTGTGACCATCCAGATTTGAGTGACTGTCATTTGTGTTGTGGCAAATTTTCGAATTTGTATGCTTGTTCTATTCGGTTTACGGAAGCACCGTCTCAGAGGAAAAGGGGATATGCAAACCTTCCGAAACAAATATCTCACTCCCCCAAACCAAAAGGTGACCCCTGTTTTAAGCAAGGAGTCCCATCCTGCACTTCAGAAAGCAGCTGGTTAGCATGCTAGCGTATATTGGTGTGTCAACTGGGGTTACCAGTGCAGTCTTCGTAGTAACGATGGTTGCAGTCCGGAAGGCAGCTGCTTCAGTACTAATTTGTACTGATGCCTCTGCAGATATACCAAATAACGTTTCTTCTGAGGAAAACTGGGAGCTAAGAAAAGCAAAATACATGAACATACTTCGTTGTTGTGGTTGCAGGTTCAAAATGGTCAGATATCATCTGTGTGCGTAACATCCAGCTACCTCAAGGATTTCAGCTCATATTTTTAATATTTGGCATCAGTTCACAACTGTGAAACAGATTGAGCCAGTCGACAGCCGTTAGTCACTCCTGTAATCCGGTACAAAGTCCCAAGTTAAGTCTTCAGACTGAAGAGTGTGATGAATTCTTTGGAAAACACTCTGGAGGATGGTGGGCGAAGAATTTTCAGAAAAATTCCAGACAGTTTTCCCACTGGCACTTCGTGATTAACTGTATATATATACGCCCAAGCTGGAATCAGTGGTTCCAATTTTTTCTGGAAAAGTCATTACTTACTATCCCAGTGTCCTGGAAGCACACAATATCCTCAAGAACGTCCTGGACTGGATATTAGTATGATAGCTCCCAGGTTGATCTACTTCAAGTTTTCTTTAAACAACAAGGTTTGGCTAGACGAAAATATTGACTATAAGCGCAGGCTGATGCCTGCAGGGAGTGCAGGCTGCAGAGATCCTGGGATGTGAAATAATGACTGGGAGTGAGGTTGACCGTATGTTGACGAGATCGGAAGGCGCCACAGCGATCGTCTTTCCGGTCCATCCATGGATATCGGCTGCATTAGTTGCTTAAAACGTATTAACATTTCTGATGCAGAACTACAACATTTTAGCTATTGGTCGTCACTAATTAGCAGTCCCCATAGAAAAATGAAGGTTTCATCTGTTTTAAATGATAAATTACCAACATCCACAAACAACCCATATAGTTTATATGCACACGTATCCATGGTTCACGGTTTTAAGTTCATTATTAATTATCTCCCTATATTAATATGTTGAGTTGAGTCACTGGTTATAACTTGCTTAAAACAAGTGAATCAAGCCTTTTGTAAGCTCGCTTGAAATGAGATACTTTAAAATACCTGGCAAACCAAGAGCTTTTTTTTATGGAAACAGGCTACAATAGTCTCGTAGACTTCAGATTCACTCTGTTCAATGGTGGTTACATGCGATACAGGACAACCTTAGTGCATATCAACGTCACCAGCTACTGTAAATACAAGTTGAACCACAATGCGATTAGTTTTCTTCAGCTTCATCTTCGACAAAAAAATCTCAGTTTGTGAGAGACAAGAGCGTAGGTTCTCTGAGCATTGTAAGCCTGTATGTTGCGTTCAAATTCTTCAGGAAAACGATCTGAATCCACAGTTTGTGGTAGGTTCAAGTTGCAACCCGTATCCCCAGTGAATTTTAATTCAAATTTACCTCATTCATTTGCATATGAAGTTGGTTTTCACGGGAGACTCACCTGAGTCTCGATCAAACCTCGCCTTTTTTTCAATGTAGCTACATTCACCCGCCTCGAGTACTGCCCCCAGAACTATCAAGCAATGGGTCCGAAATTGACACATCGCATCTTTGTGAAGAGGTTTTTACTTCCGTGAGAACATCCTGGAATCAAAAGCAAAGACACGAAAACATTAGACTGGTATTTCCACCATTTGATTGAGACGGTTTATTGATTTTTAGGCATAATGTGATGACTTCATGTAGCTCTCTTAGAGAGAAAACAGTTTGTATGGTAAAGTGAAAATTGATCATAAGAATCCCTGTAGTAAGGAGCACTTAGTGATTTGTTCGCTGAGCTGGGCAAATTGATTGCATACATCACTGATCGAGGTGACATCATTAGTGTGTTGTTACGGAGCGTAGTGGAGCATAGCGATCGGTGGTTGTGCATACGCTGCCAACATTCTCCTCAATAACAAACCAAGAAAACAAGGTTTTTCATATTGTTTCATGAATGGTAGTCAATAAATTGGGAGAACCGGGCTTTCGAATTCAGGTCTGAATCTTTATACTATTAATAAAACACTTGTGTGTAGAACATATGCCTCCGCTTAGGCTGGTCAGCACTGGGCCCGTTCTGCCTGGCGGCCAATCAGATCCACAATACTGTAGTAGGCTATTTCGTTGCAATTGGTGGAGTCGACAACCACTGAGTATATTTAACTCCTACAACTGACAGGGGTAAAAATCGTTGCTCACATATCACGGTATTTTATGCCTTGAGGAAGTGATAACCATGCGCCGTCAATCAAAGCTGGTCGTATTACTTCTGTTAGCAACAGTCATTCTGTCATCTCGTGTTTACCTAAAGGAGTTACTTTCAGTGATCAGCGAAACATCACAAAGTAAACAGATGCCTTACGATACATCACTGCGTAAAGCCCCTCCTAGAGTTCTCTCGTTGTCGGAACAGGTGCAAAAAAATTCAACTCCTGGAGCTGTTTTCCAGCAAACATGTAGTAATATTTGCAGACAACTGCCAGGCAATTTGACTCTACAGGAAATGAGTCTGAAATTTGTTGGAAATCTTACTATCTCCAAAGAGGAGCTGGCTCACAGAGATTTGCAGAGTCTTTCTCAGAAATTCCAACCTCATGTACGTGGAGGCTCATGGATGTATCGCGATCCCAGCTTGAATGCAACTAACAGGTGCAACGTTAGTAACAGTTCAGCTGTTTCCATTATAATTCCACTACGAAACAGGTGGTATCAGATTCCTCCATTACTTTCCACTCTTGTACCACTGTTGCGGAAACAAAAAATATGTTATCGTGTTTTCGTAGTTGAGCAAGCTGACGGAGGTCTCTTCAACAAGGGAAAACTTTTTAACTCTGGTTTCATCGAAGCATCGAAGTTGTTCCGGTTCGGGTGTGTGGTGCTACAGGACACCGACCTTGTTCCAGTCAACGATCTTATTCCATATGGATGTGATGAAGAAACATCAAAGCATGTTATCCACCTCGGAGTTGGTTTAGATGACCGAAACTACGAGCTGAGGTATCCCAAGCTTATTGGAGGTGTACTCAAAATGACTACTGGACAGTTTGTTTCAGTGAATGGCTTCTCAAACGAATACTGGGGTTGGGGTCAGGAAGACGATGACATGGAAAAACGGTTACGACAACGAAACATTGACTACATCCACATAAGTCCAGCTATCGCGCGATATGCCTCAATGCCACACGAGCAACAAGAAAGAGTTCGACGGAGTGAGCATCTACGTCTCTTGAAAACTGCTCATCTGAGAATGCATACAGATGGGCTTAACTCTGTGAAGTACAAATTAATCCACCTTGAGGAAAGCACCTTGTTCACTCTCATACTCGTGGATGTCCGTGATAATGTGTAAGGAAGTCTGTACTTCAATCGTGCCTCAACCCATTCTTTCTTAAAATTATTCATGATCTCAAAAATTCGCTGATGCTATTGTGAATCAAGTTTCTTCCCACTGCTTATTTTAGCTTTTTATCCATGCGCAAATATACATCTCGATCCCACGCATGAACAACCTTTCACTTGAATGTGTTCTACTTTTTTCGTTTTTCTCAACATGTGCCCAAAGTCCCAGTAGTGATCTCCAGTATCAATCAAACGTGCGAGTTTCTTTGTGAAATGGGCGTTGTGAGGTACCTAATTAATGTTTCCCGTGCTACTGTACTACTGGGATAATAGGTCTTGTATATTGTGCACGCATATATTTCACAGAATAAATTCTACAGTAGCGAAATACACTCACTTGCATACGGATTCCGTTTTGATGGGAGGCTCATCTGGAACACAGCCGAGTCTCTTTGTTTTTAAGCTGCATCAGACCGCCTCGTGTTTCAGTTGGCACGATACCTGATATAGTACAATACATCGTAAAGATGAGCGAAACCAGTCGTGAGCTTGCGAACAGCTCTCAGCAACCCTGTGAGTAGTAGTAGTTCCATTTAAAAAATTTATGCTTTAAATGGAGGTATTGTAGTTCACAGAAAGTCAGAAGAACACGTAAGTATGGACACGGGTGTATTGAGTACACGCGGCCAAACTGGTCCGCTTTCGTGGCAGGTAAGCAAAACAACTGAGTCACATATCCAGTCAACCCACAGCGCTCACGCGAGCCAACCAATCGGACACACATCCAATCAGCCACTCAAGTCACACGTCAGATCGATGGTGGGACGACGAACGGACACGCACACGCGCTACATCTCGGACACATCGAAGCAGCTACTACAGTCCTCGACCGCTAGATTTAGCTAACTCCAGCTTGGTAGTGTTCGCAGGCCTTGACACCCTAGCCGACCGGCGCAGGCACCTTGACGCATCTGTGGGCGTTTCCAAACTCTCTTGATCCCGTTCGGAGTCCACTTGCACTGTCGTCTCCAGTGTTTGTTCCGCATCTAGTCCATGACTCCTAGTTCTGATATGGTCTAAATGAGGGCGTATTAACCTCCCGTCTTCTAACAGCATGTCAATAAGGTTACGGTTTGTCGACTTCACACATCCACGCACCCATTCATTATCTGAAGGCTGAAGTTTGATGTAA